TATCCCTATTCTTTCTTTTTCTGGCTAATTGTTCTTGCTAATGTTTCAGGTACTATGTTGAACAGGAAAGGTGATAGAGGACATTCTTGTCTTGTTTCTGATTTTAGAGTTAAGGCTTTCAGGGCCAGGGATTTAGCTCAGTGGCACTGTGCCTGCCTTGCAAGCACAAGATACTGAGAGTTTGATCCCTGATACTGGGGAAAAAAGCACCTTTTAGTTTTTCCCCACTTAATATGATGTTGGCAGTAGGTTTGTCACAACTGTCTTTTATTAGATTAAGAGCAACCAGATCCCACAACTGTCAATATTTAAGTCCAATGGCCCACTAAACCTTCAATGTCAATTTTATTCAGTGTTTTTATCATGAAAGGATTTTGCATTTTGTCCAAGGCTTTTTCTTCATCTGTTGAGATGATCATGTGATTTTTGTACTTACTTCTGTTTATGTGATGTTCTACATTTACTGATTTGTGTATGTTGAACCATCCTCGCAACCCTGGGATGAAGCCTACTTGGTAAGGATGTATGATTTTTTTTATAATTTGTTGTATTCCTTTTGCCAGTGGCTTGTTGAGGACTTTTACATCTATCCTTATAAAAGAGATTGGTCTATAGTTTTCTTTTTTGGTTGGATCCATACCTGGTTTACAATCATTGTAATGGTAGCTTCTAGAAATGATTTGGGGAGTACTCCTTCCATTTAAGTTTCACTAAAAAGCTTGAAGATTATAAGGCTTAGAATTTTCCTAAGATTTTGTAGAATTCAGCTGTGAACCCATCTGCACCTATGACTTTCTTGGATTAAATAACTGCTTTAATTTCATTGCCTGTTATGGGATTATTCAGGGTTTTAAATCTACTTGGCTTAGTTTTGGTAATTCGTATAGATCTATTATTTTCTTTTGAATTCTCCAATTTGATGTTAATCTCTTTGGATTTGGCAGTGTCCATTGTGATTTCACCATTTTCCTTTCTAGTTGGAATGATTTGGGTCTTTTCTCTCCTTTTATGGTTTTATTAATTTTTTTGTTTTGTTTTGGTATCAGGGGTCAAACTCAGGTCCTCGCGCTTGTGCAGCAGGCCGCGAAACTACTGAGTTAAATCCTTGGCCCAGTTTTGTTAATTTTTAATGAGGTTTTGCTAATTTTGTTTATTCTTAAGAAGAATCAAATCTTCAATTCATTCATTCTTTTGTTTAGTTGGTTGGTTTTGGACTCAGTTTCATTGATTTCTGCTGTGATCTATTTTCTCTGTTGGATATAGGCAGTAGGCAGGGGTTCAAATGGGCTGGTGAACTTCCTGTTGACAACTGTGGGGTCTGGTTTCTCTTCTTTTCTTGAATGTTCTCTTCATACAAGATGGGTTGGTTGGTTTTAGCTTCTACTGCCTCAATCTGTGTTCCGCTATGAGCAGGATGCTGCTCCTCCCATGCAGGTGTGGGTTTTACTTGAAGGCTGGGGAACTGGACCAGTCTGCTCTCTCACATGGAGGGAACACTGCTCTGGATCCACTCTCTCATATGGAGGAGTGGATGACAAACCTGGTCTGCATGGGTCAGCTCTCTCATGTTTTAATATTCTTAATGTTGAAGGTAAAAGATATGAAAACTTCAGCAGCCATTTTTCCAAGAATAACTGGTAAAATGAGTAAATAAAGGGTGAAACATGAGAAAATTAAACAAAGAACTGCTTGTGAGATGAGAAAGGCCTGAACAAAAGAAGAGACAGCTAAAGGCTGATGTTGTGACATCTTCCTAGAACTCAGAGCATCTGAGCCCTCAGAAAACAGAACATGAAGGCACATAAACATGTGTGCCTATGCAGGAGGAGGTAGAAATAAGAATGAAAAACCTGAAAACACATACAAATATCCAGTGTAGGATACTAAACAAAGTCAATGAAGAGGCACCTGATATCAGCAGAAGTTGATTTTTAAGCCCTCCCTGCAGGTAATAATTGCCCAGGCTAGAACCACAAAGAGTGAGATGGAGAATGACAGCTCACATAGAAGTCATGAGACACACTTTAGAATTTGGACAGCGGCCTGCAGAGACCCCTATTTCTCGGATCAGTTACAGATACCATCAATGTTGGCAGCACACCCTGGGCAACACCATATGGGTAAGAACAAATCCTTAGGCTGCAGAGCCCATTTACTGGGAGAAGTTTGCAGAAATGGCTAGTGAGGAAGCATGTCCTGGAGGATTCATTAAAATTCACTTTCCTGGAGCAGCATTTTCAGAGGAAGTCATATCACTTGAGGAGATGAGACTGTGAAATGTCCCCCAGGACAGGGCCAGGGTTCATTGTTGCCCCAGGGGTAATGGGGTGGGGCCCTGGTGATTCTCCTTTCAGGAGCTCCTCCAATACCTCTTTCCCCAAAGTCCTGCTGTATTCAAATTTATCACAGACCCTAACAAGAGAAGAATATAGTAAAATCTGAGCACACTGACCCCAAAACTGACATAGAGTCACCCCATAGCTATGAAGCACTTCCTCACAAGGAGAGTGGATGACAGACCTTCTGAGGAGCCAGCATCTTGCTTTCTTAGGATCCTGCCCTAGGTTCTCAGCTGCAGGCATTTCTTTCACCAGCATAAACTGGGAATATCAGTGACTGGAGGAGACCTTCACCTCTGATCCCAGCCACAGCCATACACCCACCTACATCCTATCCTGCCAGAATAATCACTTCCCCTTACTTCAGTGTCCTGGGCCTTTTCATCACTGAAATGAATCCCAGGGCAGTTGGTGTGGTCTGGCAACACTGCTATTGACTTTCTGAGGTAAGAAGTCTGTCTGGTTCTGGGATACATGTACAGTCTGTAAGTCTTGATTAAAAGGATGAAGAACTTGCAGTGCTCTGATTCGTGGATCCTGTAGTTCCTTGGGCTTTATTGCTCACTCACTCCTCTCTACAGCCTAGGCATCTTGCACCTTTACTAATTTGTACATTCAGGGATACTTTTAATCATTTTATCCCACTAGATATAGCCAAATTCCTAGGATTCTTGATTATGGATTCCTGGGAAAAGACTCAATACCTTTGTATACTTAGATTTTCCTGGACTTCAATACTCTGATATGGGGCCCAAAAATGAATGGTACCTCAAAACATGATTTACAAAAGCCCTGCTTTTTTTCTTTCTTTGCAGCGTTATCTAAATTTGAGTGCAAACATCTGGATGAATATTCCCATCTCATTATTTTCCTCTCTTTATTTGTCTATCAGTTCATGTTATTAGCCAATGAAACAAGAGCATTCCAAATCTGATATTCACCATAAAAAGCACTCAGAATCACTTTTAATATACCTTATAGTTGTCAATAGGCAAAGAAATTACTCCTGTTAATGTTTTTCAGGTTAGAACTACAGCTTGAATTTTGTAAAGCAAAGATCTGAGTCTCCAAGAAATAATAAGACATCATTTTAAAGAAGGTATTTCTCTGGATGGCTTCTCATCCAGAGTTCATTGTGACAGAAGTGCTGGCAAGACATTACTTATTGTTTTAGGTTTTTCCAGTGTTCTCATATTTATGATGCCGTCTCCTGTGCCCCCCTTTTGTTATCCCTTGATTCACTTTCACTTAGCAAGCTTCTATTCATCCTCAGCTGTAGCTTATATAACACTTCCTCTGAGTATTCACTCTATATGGTCTCATGGTATGTCATATTTCACTTTACACATTCTCCATCACCATTGTATGACATTCTTGTGTGATTAGTTTTTCACGTTTATGCAATTATCCAACTATCAATGGAGTGACCTGGCACAGTTCATGTCCCTACTTAATATTTACTTAATGAAAGAAAGGAAATATATCATATGTGTCTCTCAATGTTCGGTTTTAATGATTCTACTTCTTAAAAGTCCCACCTCTGAAATAACCTGGGTGGTAACATAAAGATAGGAAGAATAGGTAGAGATAATACAAAGGAAAGATGAACAATTTGGTCAGGAATCATATCTTCTCTTCCAGAATGCCTTTAAGTCTTTGATCCAACTGTGAAAGACCTGCATTCATAAAGCCAGGCTAAGTGGATGTTGCCACATACACCCCACACATTCCATGTCATTTGCTCCTCAATCTCTTGCCAGACTCTATCAAATGGTTTTGGGAATGAGTAAGACAATATCCTTCCAGTTTTGCATGCTCAGATTGTTGTTGAAAATATTAGCTAACAGTAATAATATGGTTTTGGCCCTTTCCTAAAATGTCTCTTTTTTGTAAGTCACCCATTATACCATTTATCCTAAGCACAATGACTACCATCCATCAACAAATCCCACTGTTTTCCTTTTTTTCTTGACTCTTCTTCAGTAAAAATCTAACCATTACCTCTAAATAGGCAGACACTTTTACTTTCAGAACTATATCATTCCAACCATTGAATCAACTCAGAATTCTTCCTATCTCCAGCAGACTAGCAGTCCACACATCAAGGAGGTGAGGATGGTTGAATTGTGCAAGAGATCAAGTGGTCCAAGAGCCCAGAGATTCCTCTGTTGAGGCAGCTATAAAACAATAAGACCATGAAGTAAAGGGAAACATGTGCTCAAGGGGAAAAGATGGCAAAGAGCTCCTTATGAACAAAATATTAAAAACTGAATAGTTATTCCAAGTATATTTTTAAAAAGAAAATGCACATTTTAACTGATTGCCAAGTGTGTCTGATTATTATGAAGACAAGGATGGTTACATATATTTACAAAGATGCTTATGGGACTTATTCTCCTGAATACTTTAAGTAAAGTCCATTTTTAATTCAAATACACAATATATCTGTTACCTGGTTAGCTGATGGCTCATTATATTCAATAAAATTATTGACAAATTCACAAAACAGAGGGAAAGTTTAGCTAAGTGAAAGAAAAACACTTCACTGAGTTTCTATTTCCTACCCAACAGTGTCCTGGAACAATCCAAAACTAGACTAAGCTCCTTAGAAGAGCTCCCACTGACAGAACATCTGGTTCTAAACAACTAAGAAACCACAGAATGCAGCTCTGGAACTTCACCTTAGGAAGTGGCTTCATTTTGGTGGGGATCCTGAAGGACAATGGGTCTCCTGAAATACTTTGTGCTGCAATCACACTCCTATACACATTGGCCCTGATCAGCAATGGCCTGCTGCTCTTGATCATCACAGTGGATATCCGGCTCCATGTGCCCATGTACCTCCTGCTTGGCCAGCTCTCTCTCATGGACCTCCTGTTCACATCAGTTGTCACTCCCAAGGCCCTCATGGATTTTCTGTACAGAGAAAACACCATCTCCTTTGGAGGCTGTGCCCTTCAGATGTTCCTGGCACTGACACTGGGTGGTGCAGAGGACCTGCTACTGGCCTTCATGGCCTATGACAGGTATGTGGCCATCTGTCATCCTCTGAACTACATGACCTTCATGAGACCTGGAGTCTGCTGGTTCATGGTGGCCTCATCCTGGATCCTAGCATCCCTGAGTGCTCTAGGACATACTGTATACACCATGCACTTCTCTTTCTGCATGTCCCGGGAAATCACACACATTCTCTGTGAGATTCCAACCTTGCTGAAGCTGGCCTGTGCAAACACCTCCAGATATGAGCTCATGGTTTATGTGACAGGTGTGACTTTCCTCTTGCTCCCTCTTTGTGCTATTGTTGCCTCCTACACACTAATTTTGTTCACTGTGCTCCACATGCCCTCAAAGGAGGGGAGGAAGAAAGCACTTATCACCTGCTCCTCCCACCTGACTGTGGTTGGGATGTTTTATGGGGCTGCTACACTCATGTATGTCCTACCGAGTTCCTTCCACAATCCCAAACAGGACAATATCATTTCTGCTTTCTACACAATTGTCACCCCAGCCCTGAACCCCCTTATTTACAGCCTAAGGAATAAGGAGGTCATGGGGGCTTTGAGGAGGGTTCTGGGAAAATATGTGCCCCAACACACCCCTTCCTTTTAGGAGGGTTCATGGCTCACCTCTCACCATTCCTTCTCCAAGTGAGATTGCTGTACTCATGCATTCTTTAATATTACACACTATCTGAGATATTACACTTTTAAAATTTATCCTTTATGTTCTACTTTGTAGCTAATGGGTAAAGAGACTTAGCACATATCACCTTGACTGTTGAATCCCCATATTAAAAAAAGACTAGGAAAAGAGGAAACTTTGGATGGCATAGACTCACTCTGTGATAGGGCATCATCTTCACAAATTATCAGGTAAATGTGATAGTTAATTAACTGTCAATTTCAATATCATATAGCAGTATGGAGCAAATTTGCTTTTCACTGACCAATCACCAACAGGCCCATTATCATCAAGGGCTCAATGGATCCTTATATCACCAATAGAGAAAAGAATCCACAGAATACACATTTATTTTAAAAAATAACAACTACTAAGGAACCATATTAGAAATGTTTCTGCATCTGCATCCAGATCTGGGAGAAAAATCACATTTACTCCAAAAATACAAAAACCAACATCAAGATAGTGGAAGTCTCTAAAGAAAGGATTTCTGGCATTTCCAGTGGAAACTTTCACAGAGACATTTTGAAATCGGGCATTTTCACAATGCCTAAAATTAAAATTTAATCACAGTAATGAATATAATAGAATTGTAAGCACTCAGATTTAAATACAGGAGATACAATAGTAGTAAGAAAAATCTGTTGTGTTTGAATTTTTTTAAAATGTAGCCTTAGAGATATACAGATGTGTTTTGAAACATCAAAACAATTGCCAAGAAGCTTATATCATGGGCATGAAAATATATTTATGTCTGTGCCCACAAAAAAGAAATTGTAAATATGCAACTCACTAGGCTAAAAATGCTTTATTGCATTTTATTATTTATTGGTGTGGGAAGATTTATAACAAAAGATAGAAAACTGAATTTATTGAGAACAGAGTTCAAAAATACTTTGGCTTATGTAGATGCCATCATTCTTTTTTTTTAAATGTATATCCTTTTATTGGTACATTTTAGGTGTACAGTATAATGACACTCATCATTGGAAATCTGCACCTTTACATACTCTCTTGGTTCTTATTTTTTTTCCCCTTCCCCTGCCCTCTCTTCAACCCCTCTACCTCTCCCTATGTACAAAGACTTTGTTTTCCTTTTTTTCATTTTCTCATATGAATTACATTCCCTTCTATCCTTTCCCCTACCCCTTCCTCTTTGCCCCTTTTCCACCTATTTCACATTACCTATTATACCTTTTAGTCCTTATTTACACTTTCAGTTTCTCACACTAGAGAAAATATTCGGTATTTACATATGTGTGTACTATTTATTTCACTTAAGAGTATTGCCTCAATGTGAGATGCCATCATTCTTGAGAACAGTGCTTTGTGAGAACTCAGAAATTGTCTTCCTTTTGGAAATAATCTTAAATTACTGAGTTCATAAACCTGTTCTATAATGCAAGAGTTAAAGCTAATTAACACAAATCTTTATAAAAACGGAGAAAATTCAAAACTTTAGAAAGAAGGAAAAGTCATCCATAAAGTTTTCCTTTGATATTTTGTTCTGCTTATATGTATTTTGCTATTTATATGTAAGTAATCATTAAACCCCTTTCCGCATTTATAAATTGGTGATCATTCTTCCATGTTATAAGGGGATAGATTGTTGAGAGATGGAGCAAACTAGTGTTTCTGAGGGTTTTTTCCCAGTGTTTGGTTTTTATCAGTACATGTTTCCAGTACATAATGATTACATTAGTTGTGGGGAGTTGGTACATATATATGACACATTTCAGTTCTTTTTGCATTTCCTTTCCTGCCTTACCCTCCCCACTCCTTCCATTCCTGAGTTTAAGCCCTGTTCATTATCTGTGTATCTTTGGACACTTTTTGTACCTTATTTTGCTCACCTCAAAAGTTATTATAGATAAAGGCTCCTTCTCATGGTATTATTGTATAGATTGAATAAGATAATAAAGGTCAGGAATTTAGACAATACCTTGTTAAATTCTGCTTAATATACATGTTGGCTACTATACAGATGAATAATAAAGAATCTTTAGAACACGTTTTTTTCTTGTCAAAAAGTTTCCATGACATTTTAATTTCACACATTTTAGCCATTAACATTCTCAGCAATGAATCCATGTATTTGAATTAATTAGTTGCCCCAGAGGAAGAAAAGTAATGCTAACTTTTATATAACTTCCAATGTGTTAGTATTCCTTCATCTTAGACTATTTTGCAAAAGCATGTGCAGCAGGTAGAAAGAGGATCCACCTACAGAGACATTGTGATGCCCTATTGCAGTGGACTCAGCCATCCTTGTCCCCTGAGAAGTAGATGAGAACCTCTTCACTTTCATCTTGTCAAGCATGTTTCATTGCTCAAATGGCATGGGAAAAAACACCCTCCATGGCTGAGACTGTCTGGTGGGCCCAGCTGTTTCTCAAAGAGCATATTGAAATGATGGCAGTGCCACTTCTCAAATATTACTGTAGACAAGACAAGGCAAATGATAACTTAACTTTGTTCTCCATAGTTGAAAAAGTGTGTCCTGTCCTTTCTAGCTGTCTGGGTTCTTCTCTTGACGCTGTCTGGTGTCTCCTTCAGGGCCAGGCTATTGTCTTGGACATGAGATCCATAGGCCTTTTCCTGAAGCTCCTGGGGGTTTCAAGCTGACACTGCTCTCCAACAACCTGAATTCAGTAGAGATTTGGCCCCCATCATTTACAATCTCCTGCCACCATGGGAAGGATGTACCATGTGTGTGTGCATATTTGCACACTGAGAAAGTGTGCCTTCTGAGGGGTGTGGGAAGCCATGTTCCACAGGCTTCCTGCAACTGGTGAATCTGGATTAAAGGCAGCTTCATGAGATAAAGTCTCAGCACAAATTATATCTTCAGGGGCCGAGGATTTAGCTCAGTGATTTCACTGCCTACTGCGCAAGCGCAAGGACCCAAGTTCGATCCCTGGTACCAAAAAAAAAAAATATTATATCTTCAGTAGCCATGAGACAAAGACCCAATGAATTTTTGAACATCGATTTCAGGGCAAGACTAAGTACATTAAACTACATTATCTCATTTTATCTCCATGAATGTTATTGAGGGAGATAATAGTACTACCACAAATTTATCCATCATTTACCTGCATACCATTGCTTAGATTCTACTTTCTTCTACTCAAAGTATATATAGGTAGTGTAGGGATGTTTCAAGTTTACTTTTTGTCCTCTGAAGTTTTCATAATTTTATTCTATGAAAGCCACTGTCAATACATAGACTAACAGAGAAAAAACATATAAGTTTATTAATGTGAAAATTTTTGAGTCATACATATAGAATGTGACTTAAAGAGGGGCAAGATGAATGAAATTTTTAAAGAGCTCATCCTAAAGATAGAAACTTGGAATTTTGAGGGAGAGAAAGTTGGGGTAGGCTCTGGAAGGTTAGGTGAGGAGATGCACAGTGACCAACTGTTGTCTTCGGATGCAGATGAACTTTTCCAGGTAATTGACACATGGAAAATATCTCCCTGGGACACATTCAGACCCCCAAACTCTTCTTCCTATGAAATCTCTCCCTAGTTAAACAGGGGGATGTCAGATAGAAAAGCCTCTACTTACACCCAATGTTTAAAATGCAGAGAGATATAAATTTCTTTTTACTAGGTATCATGGGTGAGTAGGCTCTTTGAATACCCAAATCAAAATATACCAAAGAAATATATCTGGGTAAGTACTTTGGTCTCCCTTACTAGTTACTGTTGGATTCTGGGCTCAAACATCTCTGACTGACTTAAAAATTCTTGCTTATTAGAAAATATCTATAGTCCTATTAAGCATTGGAAAATAAGTTATTGGTAGGACACAGACTTTGCGTTTATATCTTGTTTGTTTCTCATGGCAATTCATAGAAGTAGCTGTTCATATTCATCTGAGGAAACCCGCACAGACATTCTAATTTCCTTATTCAATTATCACACATTTCTTAAATATTCACATATTTCATTTTGCCAGGAACTAAGGTTATAAAAAAGAGACAGATCCTCCCATAACTGGAAGAAGAGGGAAATGCTCTGCTCTGAGGACACATTCAGCCCCCACTCTCACAGGAGCAGCCAAAGCCTGAACTAAAGCAGTGAGTCAGCAGCCTGCCAGTCCTGGGAAAAGAAGCTGCTCATTGCTCAGGTCTCTCTGGAGCAACCTGAAGACAGGAAGTTGGCCTCAAGGAGACAGGTAAGTGAAGGAGAAGGAGAAGGAGGAGGAGAAGGAGGAGGAGGAGGAGGAGGAGGAGGAT